TGCTTTTTCCCTTGAACTCTGAGAATGCTTCTTGCTTTCTGGGATGGAAGACAAAAAGCAGTGTACAAGGCAAGTCTGTGTGGAAACTAATCTATGGTGAACAAGTAAACTTTGCAATAGTTGCTCTGCCCCCACCTACCATTGGTGTGTGGGACCTGGAAGGTTGTCCAGAAGAAAATGCAGCCCTTGAGCTCTTTAGGGTCCCCACCCCTGTTTTACAACTAGAAAAGGAGACAAAGAAGCCTCAGGGATGCCCTCTAGATTGTTGGCCATGCTGTCTAGGTCTGATGAGAGTTTGAGTGCAACCACATCTGGAAGGCACCATGTTGTCCATGTTGAGATAGATTTCATATTGAAACAACAAGCAACAATTTTGTAGCAAATATTGCTAATTATACAGACATCATTCTCATGGTTGGCTGGCTGTAAATTGTGCAACCATAGCAGCTGTACTTGCTCAGTTGCCTGTTCAAGAATACCCAAATTGTGAAGGACAATGACAGACGGTTCTGGAATCTGATACAGAACTGTACTTTTGTTATTGCAGTAACTGGAAGGTTTTAATAAAGACTGTGTCAACAGCTATGTTCTCTTAGATTTTAAATTCAGCACATTTATTTCATAGCCAAGGACACATATCTGAATGCAAGAAACCACCTTGCTGAGTTAGACCCTTGGTCTCTTCCCTTCAAACACCTGTAAGAAGCTCTCAGGCAGATGTCTTTCCCAACCATGCTACCTGAGGATAATTTTAAATGAAGACTGTTTCTTCATGAATCACATGCAGTCTGCCTCAGTTATGAACCTTCCATTGAATTGGAGAATGTAGCCTTGCTGCCCTTGAAACAGTAATAGCTGTGGACCTCTGTCCCTAACACAGTTAAATGGTTTCCACTTTTAATGGAAGGAATCAAGCCATATTCATTTTAGAACTTCACAGGCTTATAGGGCTATCTCTCGCCTCTCATCTCACATTGCATCATTATCCTAAAGGAAGTCTTGAGCCTCTTCTAAGTAGTGTGGGGTTCTTAACTTTCCTCTTAGCAGAAAATGTGCCTTTTAGAAAAGTTGTGAAGGACAATGCTAACTGTTGTTGTTTTTCTCTCCCCCACCCACTCCACTTTTTCTGGTTCTTTGTCCTCTCAGGATTGCTCTATGTTGGCTTTAGTGCTTGTATGTTTGGCCTCTACAGCTTCATGCCTGTGGTCATTAAGAAGACTAGCGCTACAGCAGTCAACCTCTCCCTGCTTACAGCAGACTTGTACAGCCTTTTCTGTGGATTCTTTCTCTTCTACTACAAGGTAAATGGAGCAGACTTTGCATTTGAATAATTGATTGCTCTCTTGCAGGCAACTTGGTGATGCAGAAAAATCAATACAGCAAAAACAATGGCAATATCTCCAGACTTCTTTCACTCCAGAATTTATATACTTCATGTCTTGTTGGAAAGGAGTAGCCCATCACACACAAAATTTCTTCTGTAACTGCTGCATCCCATTTGGAGGTGTGACGCTATCCTTCCTGACTGTCTCTGTTCAGTTGTGACCAGCGGATGACAGAATATCTATGCAGTTGCTGGAGGTGGGGGCAAACTTTCCCTGACCCGGGGGGGGGGGAGCAAAGCTGAATAACTAGAATATGAATTAGACGTATGCCAAATGTTCTCCTGTTTCAATTTTCAGGTCAAAAATATCAATTTCAGTGGGGCTGAAATATTTCTGGAAAAGCACAGTACAAATATACACTTCTTTCTCCCCTCCTTCCTGTGTTTAGTTCCTTTTTTCTTCTGGTTGATGCTGTATCAGTCCCATTTCTTTCCTTCACCTGAAGCACCTTTCTCCTTCCTGGATTTGTCACATGGGTTATTTTGGCTAATCGGGGATCACATAGTATATAGTGAATCAGATTGTGTTATATGGAACACTCTATAGCTAGTCAGATTTGATTACATGATGGTGTCACTGAGGACAAATGAAGCTGATTGAGAGTGAGAGCAATAAATGTCAGTATAAATGAGCAGGCAGACATTTTCTCAGGAGTGCTCCTCTCCCCACAAAAAAGTCACCAGGAAATTATACAGCTCTTTGGAGCCTTCAACCCAGACAAGCAGACAAACAAAAATGAACCCCAAAAATGTGAACAAAAAAAGTGAGTAATTTTGGCTTATCCCTAATAAAATTAAAAATAAAAACCTTTGAATTTATCCAACTCTGAATTGAAGGTAATGAGACTTTTCACTTATTCATTTATTTTAAAATTTAATCCTCCACCTATGCAATTTGAAAACTAAAGCAACTAACATCAGTAAAAACTGTATATAAGTTCCAATGAAGCTAGGTATCCAAAACATTCAAAATCTGAAACTAGATAGAATGCTTCCAGTATTTATTATGTGTGACTGAAATTTAAAAACTTTTCTTTGCTTGTAAAAGGTTGTTGTTACAAAAATCCTACAGTCAGCATTTGACCAGCTGAAGGAAGCAATAAATTGAGATCAACAGTTCATTATTTGCATAATAAGCAGTATCAGGATGTGCACACCTGCTTACAATGGTCCAGTGTAGACATGATGCTTAACCATAGTTAGTACTATCCATGGTTTGTTACTTTAACCCTGGTTAAGGTCCTAAATGTACAATGTGACCATGGTATATGGGGAACTGTGCCTTTCCCTCTAGAAGCCTTATGTAGGGCAAGACTAATAAGTCCTGCTTGATACCTTGCAAGCGGAGTGTCTAGAACAGCAGGTGAACTGCCTTCAGGGTTTGCTCTGTGCAGATATAAGTCTTAATAATGTTAAACATAAAGCATGGCTTTCAAACCAAGTTCTCAAAGTCTGGTTTTCAGGTAAACATAGTTCAGAAATAATGCTTTAATGACCAAAGAAACCATAGTTATGCAAATACAACTGCATACATAGGTCACTACTTCAGTACTCCAGTTTTTGAATTACTGGTACAACTTCCAGACTAAAACTCTTACTTTGTGCAAAACTAACTTGACATTTACAAGTTATAAATAACTCATGTACTGAATAATGTCAGCTCATCTGATTTGACTTCAGCTTCCTGTTGATCAGAATTTATACTTCTGGCTTTCGGACTATAAATGCAGCCCTGTAATTTTTGTTTGAGTTTTCCTTGTCATTTATAAGAGGAAGGCAAGCTTTTAAGCTCCCCCCAACCACAAAGCATAACACATTAGCCGTAAATGACCTATATTAATTATCCTGCTAAGGTCGGTATACTCTGCATGTTTTCCACCTGTTCTGTTTTTAGCCCAGCTGCAACCCTTCTTGGCTGCACTAATCCCTTTTGTTTTATAGCATATTGACCAATGGGCAAAAGCCTCTCTTCAGTGGAAAGTAAATGACTTTATGCTGAATTAGAATCATTTGAGCATTTTAGTACTTCTTGCAGAACATATTTTTTACAAGGCTTTCAAGTAACTGTTGTGATTTTCCCCTCCCCCTGTGCTGCTACTTTTATCATCTGAAAGCTTTATTGCACCTACAGCAGTAAATCTCTGGAAATCAAAGGGAATGTAGGAAACTAGCTTTACTGAGCTTTAGAGCTTTGGAAATTAAATGGAGGGGAGGGAAGAGGAGGGAGAGGGAACATCCAGATGTGTTTTGTTAGGATTTCACTTCCCTGTATCAGGAGGTTGTGTTGTCTTGATGACATTTGGAACTGAGGTGTTTATTGTTTTAAATTTATTATGTTCCCCTCACATGCCAGAGCCATAGTAGGCTATATTGGTACAGGCATGATGGGCTCCAGTTAAATCAGCAATATGGCTTTATGACTGGCAATCAGCTCCAATGGGCTGTTTAATATGTAGGGAGTTTATTTCATTTTTATTATTAAAGTATAATGATTTGTGGTTAGCTGTTCCAAACAGGCCAGGAGTAGCCAGTGTCATGCTCTCCATATGTTGTTGCTCTTCAGTTCCCATCAGCCCCAGCCAGCATAGCCAAGAGTCGTAGATGGTAGGAGTTTAATCCAACAAATGCAATCGAGAGGGCGCCATTTGACATAGACTTTTTTTTAAAAGATGCTCAGAATTCATTGAGTGCAATGAACTTCCATGTAGTGGAGGTTTAAATCCGTACTAATTGATCTCAAAAGTTCAGTTAAAATGACCAGCGGCAGCCTATTAGCAATCTTCTTGCCCCACAGCAAATATATGCATTTGTTCTAGAAGCTTACATGTGGTTTTTGCTAGGCCTACCATCGGAAAGGCCTGTACCAGTGATGGATTCCCACTTCATCAGCAGTAATTAGGTGTTTTTGATTCCCAGTGCAAAGTCCAACAGTAATTCTCAGGATCCCTTGAGCAAAACCTGAGAAGTTGACAGGGCAGACTGTTCAGAGTAACTACTTCTGTCCTTTGGGACACAAATAGGGAAGGTGCTCTTTTCAAATGCAGGCACCTTCATTTTTCTTTTCCTTAAGTCAAGAGAGTGTGAGGTAGCCACTGCTTCCTCCTTGACATGAGGAGCTACCATGGGGAGCTACTAAAATGTCATTCCCACTGAAGCAGCAGCAGCAGCACACATAGAAATGAAGAACTTGGTTGCTGAAATTAGACTACAGCTGTTTGAAAAGGCCAGCGTGGACATAGTTTCCATTCTCTCTCATGGCCTTTCACATTTTAGCCTTTAAGTCACTCATTATTCCTAATGGACTAAATACTGGCATGTCCTGTTTTCAGTGATCCCCTGTTGTTTTCCTTCTCCGGATGGTTGTGTCTCATTACTGTAATGCATGGAATCCTTCAGTTCAGGCAGGATCTTTTATTCACATTTCTGCGGGGCTTTGCAGTTTGGTTGTTTACCTCTCCCCACAGAGCAAGGGAAGAGCTTCTGGGAGCCAGAGAGAAAGTAAGAATAGAGGTGGGAATGGAAAGAACTACAAGCAAGCCCAGTGCCTCAACATAAACTGGGGCAAATTAAGGATATATATTTATGTCAGCGTTTCAGATTCAACCTAAAGAGCTTTGAGAATGGCTTTAGCTCTGTGGTAGAGCATCTGCTTTGAATACAGAAGGTTCCAGGTTCAATCCTCAGCATCTTCAAGTAGGGCTGGGAATATTCCCCCATCTAAAAACCCCAGAGAGCAGCTGCCATTCAGTGTAAACAATACTGAGCTATATGGACCCAGTGATCTATCTCAGCTTCCTATATTCCTATGTTCCACTGCCCCTTCTGCAGATATTAACTTTTATTACATTACATTATATTGTTGTTGTTTAGTTGTGTCTGACTCTTCGTGACCCCATGGACCAGAGCACGCCAGGCACTTCTGTCTTCCACTGCCTCCCGCAGTTTGGTCAGACTCATGTTTGTAGCTTCGAGAACACTGTCCAACCATCTCATCCTCTGTCGTCCCCTTCTCCTTGTGCCCTCAATCTTTCCCAACATCAGGGTCTTTTCCAGGGAGTCTTCTCTTCTCATGAGGTGGACAAAGTATTGGAGCCTCAGCTTCACGATCTGTCCTCCCAGTGAGCACTCAGGGCTAATTTCCTTAAGAATGGATGTGTTTGATTTTCTTGCAGTCCATGGGACTCTCAAGAGTCTCCTCCAGCACCATAATTCAAAAGCATCAATTCTTCGGCAATCAGCCTTCTTTATGGTCCAGCTCTCACTTCCATACATCACTACTGGGAAAACCATGGCTTTAACTATACGGACCTTTGTTGGCAGGGTGATGTCTCTACTTTTTATTACATTACATTATATTACATTAACTTTTAACTTTTCCACTGCTCTTCTTGCTTATCTGCTAGCAGAGTTAATGAGAGGTCTTGATCAAGTTAGTTGCCATTTTTTCTCAGTGTTAATGTTAATTTAGGCTCCTTAGATTCTTTTTGTTTTTCATTTGCAAGCCAAATGCTGAATTTTAGCTTTTCTAAGAAAATTACATTCCCACTAGGTTCTATAAGCAGTTTATATCTCATTCTCTGGTAGCAGAGTCATGCATTCCTGAGTGTGTTCTGCACCAGCAGGTTCAGTCACACTGTATTATGTCATTAAACCAGCAAGCCAACTACAATAAATTCTATTCTGCACTGGCAAGATCACTCATTCTGTTTAATCTTAGATGCAGCCATTAGTTGGACTACAACATTATAGTAATTTGCACAATTTGAATGGACTATGTGGAGCTGGAAAAAGCTAGAGTTTGTGATTTGAGGAAAGGAGATGAAATAGCTGGGGAAATAACAGGAATGCACAAGCAGGTGAAATATAAACACCACAAAATATTACAGCACCATGAAGGTTTCAGATGCTGCTCAGGGAGGGAATGAGATGCTACAAAGTTCATGTGAGTATGGATGGAAACAGCAGCCCTGTGTCTAATTTCTCTGCCCTCCCACCACCATAATATTTTGAGCTATGGTCCTCATACAGTGATGCCATCACACTGTGTTTTACTCACACACAATGGGTAAGAGGAGCTTGCAGTATGACACGGGAGAGAGAGGAGGGGTGCAAAGGATGGCTGTTTTTGGCAGCAGCCCCATGCCATTCATCATGTGTAGACATCATGTATCTACGCACATTTATACATTAAAATGAGGAAATCCCTAGCAAGTGTAAACACGTCAGACTTTCTCTCCTTAAGAAGGTACCATAGAACAAAATTATGTGTTGATACCCAAAGCATGTGGCATTCGCTTTTTCATTTTATTCATTTAGAAAATTGTTTTATATATGCATTCACACACAAAAATCGGATTGGTTTACAATAATATATACAAAAAATACAAAAACCATATAACATTTTTGAAATCAAATAACTATTGTGGAAAGATGTGTTCTTAACTGCCTGCACAAGCCTGGTGGAATAGAAGTTTTCAGCTGGCTTTAGCAGTGGAAACAGAAGGTACCAGCTGAATCTCTATTGATGACACTAAAGTCTCCGTTTCTTGTTTTGATCAAATAAGCCTTGTGAACTCAGGGAATGACCAACCACGCTCCTGAATATGATCAAGCTGGGATAAAGGGGTTCAGGAGATCCTTAAGTTACCCTGGATCTAAGTTGTTTAGGGCATTGTAGGCTATAGTATTTGTGAAGTGTATTGCCTCTCACACTTTGATGAAAATCCTAGGAAACAATCTAGAAGGTACCAGGTTGCAGAAGGCTGGTCTCTACTTGTGGCCATCAAGTCACTCCTATAGATGCTGCTGGATGTTTTCTAGCTAAATTGACTAAAGGCAAACTACTGTCAAGCATGGGGAGCCAAGTATTTACTATAGTTAACAATGAAGGGGCACTATCCCATACTTTGCATTTAACTTGTTCCACGTTTGCCACCTCTCCTTTAACTTGCAGTAACCACATGGTTCCCTTGGATGTCTGTACCTATTTGTTCTGCAGGCATCCTGACAATATGCCTTTTATTCACTCCTGGGCTCTGCTGATTCCCCTCATTTGTCCTGATTACAGGTTGGATCCAAACTAAGTTTGTCACACTTTGGTCCCATTGAAATCAATGGGAGAGGTTAGTCACAGCTAACACAAGTCCCATTGATTTCAATGGGATTAAAGTGTGGCTAACTTAGTATGAATCCATCTCTCTGTGTGACTTAAACTGTGAAAGGATCTGGGATATAAACAGATGCTCCTATTTGATTATTTTGTTGGCCATTCGGTCCTTACAATTTTGATAATGTTTTCAAAGTGATGTCTCATTTACTGCTCAGCATGACTGTGAAATTGTGCTGTGTATGCTCTTGTTCAGCTACAAATGCAAACTAGGCCTTTGAAATGTGTTCAGTCAATTAGAGGCCGATTCAGAATGCAGGAAGGGAATCCAATCAAACTTCTAAGCATCATGTCTTTAAGAAAATGGTTTGCAAGCCAGGGGAATTAGATGTACTCTTCAGATGATTTTCATCTTTCCTTTATAAAACAGAGGTAGCAGCTAAGGCTATAACAGGATGTCCTTTTGATCCCTGTGTAGGAACCAAGAGTAGACCTATCCCATCATGGTACTGAGTTTGATCCAGTTTATGCCTGAATTCTAAATTTAATTATTTAGAAGTAACTATTTGATCCTTGTGGGTCTCTCTACCTGTTGCACTTCTCTTGATGCCATTGCTTAATTCTTCTCTGATATCACAATGTGCATATTAGATTCCTTGCAAGAAGTGGTGTCATTGGCTCAGCTGCTCTGATTTCAAGCATTGACCCAAGTTGCTGTGTGCTTAGGGGGAATGGGGAAACCTCAGAACAAGAGTGACTAACCTGTGGTTGTCCAGATGCTCTTGGACTCAAGCTCTCATCAGCCCCAGGGAACATGGCCAGTGCTCAGGGATGATGAGAACTGTCATCCAACAGCATCCATAGGGCTGCATGCTGGTCACTCCTGTCTTAATGCAAAAGTCCATGTGAAGCTAAGGTTCAGAATTATATATATCAGCAGAAGAACATAGTACAGCATCTCCAGTGTAGCTTTTTCTGGTAAATTGGATTGTTTGTCTCTATCTGTCTACCCTTTACTTTTCCAGCCAAGCATATGATTGATGAGAATGAATTAATGGCAAAAGTCACATTCTGCCCTTTGACACTGCAGTGTGGTATATCAGACCTTAGAGATTTATAATTGCATATACAATGGACTTTACTTTTGAAAATCAATAGGTAATTGGGTGTGTTTGTGTGTGTGTGTGTGTGTTTTGCTCTCATTGTTACATGGGGGGTGGGGGTGGGGTGGGGATGGGTTCACCAACAGAAGAAAGATGTTACAGAGAACAAAACCAGATTTGTACCAAAAATCTTTTACAACCTATGCATGTGCAGTATATTTCGTCTGCCTATTAATGCGCATTTGTTGATGCACACCTCTGTTCAGCGGTCTTGTATGTTTAGACCACTGACATCTCTGACACAAATTATTTAGTTGTTTTATGCAAATGGATCTTCCATGAAACCTTGAAAGCACTCTGCCCTGTAAAGGGATAAGGAACGCAGGGAGCTGCCTTAGATCTGATCAGATCAGATAATTAGTTCATCTAGCTCAGTATTGTTGGCTCTGTCTGACAGTGACTCTCCAGGATCTTGGGAAGAGACCTTTCCCATTACCTGCTTGCTGACTCCTTTAGCTCTTTTAACCAATGGTCATCCAAATGTTGTTGATCTCATCAGCCCCAGCCAAGTTGGTCAGTGGCCAGTGGTGATGGGAGCTATAATTCAGCAACATGTGGTGTGCCAAAGGTTCCCCACACCTGAATTAAGCCATGATCTTTAACCCACACAATCCAAATAAATTCAGCTGAAACCTGTGAGAGCTTTCTTACCTCTTACAGAATTCCTCTGTGATCTTCCCCAGTTTTGTGTAAGACATTCCACATTAGTTCTGTGGTAAAATCTGTTGCTCTAATGCTGGCAGCTGTTATCCACCTTTCAGAAATGTTAGCAAGAATTTTATAGGATCATTAATGTTTCAAAGCAGATGAGATGCCTTGCTCAGGCTCTGCTTCGCAGAATATTTTGCTTCTCGACTGGTAGAGAAGGCAGCAGGAGTGACTGGTAAGGTCTATAAATCTGTGGTTTTTAAGTAATTAAATATACAGTAGTAAAGACACAACAAGAAAGAGGAAAAGTATATTTCTGTGTAAAACCCATGATCTGCTACTTGAAAGAAATTGCAGTCCCTATTTAAGCATGTCTTGAAAACATATTGAACAATGTAAATAACTTCACATTTCTTTTTTTTAATCTGCCTTCTGTCTGTAAGGTACAACACATTTTATCTCATTGTCTATTGCTATTACACAAAATATTCCATTGCCTCCAGTTGACCACATTGATACCACTGGCCAGAGGCAGGGAACACTCATAGACCTGCTTGGCAAGACCAGGAGGGCTCCCAGATCAGGACTGCTTTCCTCCTTCCTGGTCCTCTTTACTGCTATGTTGTGCTAAACTAAGCCAAAGTTTGGCTTAGTGTGTGTGACACCTGAAACAGGTCTTGTTGTTAAGCTCCCTAATCTGAGCTGTAGCCAAGGTTTGTGCGTCTATAAGCCATAGTTTGGCTTCCTGTGTCATGCAGACCAGGCCGGTGAAATGCTGTCAGGATATGAGATGAGTTACGGAAGGAGAGACAGGAGCTGCTTTCAAAGGCAAACATTTTCTTTTTGGGGGTAACATCATTTTTTTAACCCAAAGCCTCTGATGAAGAACAGATCTGCAACAAAAACTGTGCACTTGCTAAAAACATCTCTCATTCATTGGGGCTACTTTGGTCCAGTGACTGTATAATATTTTGGTACAAAACAACGTCTAAGCATAGCAGACCCTCAGAGAAACCTCAGCACTGCAGGCTTGCCAGGTGACTTACGCAATAACTCATACTGAAGTTAATGAGCATGCAGCTGCAAATAACTTGCTTCTCTCTGTATGGGAATGAGATACTTTTGTATGAGGGAGATAAAAAATATTTTTTTCTGGCAAATCATACTAGATGCAGACACTGTAAACCTCAGTGACAAAGAAATAAACAACAGATCCAGGCTCCATCATTTATGGTGGCTTTGCTTTTGAGCGCCATTAGCTTCAAATACAGCAATGCAGAATCAATTACTACTGGCAGCTGACACTTTATTAATTTTTTACACCCACAAACAAATCAACCCCCCCCAAAAAAAAACCTCCTGTCAACTGCTGTCTGATAAATTGAATCACTAGAGAATATTAAAAAGTGAATAAATCAGAATAAATATTAAGCTTTATGTAGAAATGTTCCTGAATTGCCACCTCTTTCACCTTTATGACACTCAAAGACCGCTAATAACTGCTTTAGCATTGACTGTCATTAGGTTAACACTGCCAATATGTATGGAACATTCAAGTATTTTTATCTCTCTCAAATAAAGCCATAGACACCAGGAGGATGCTCTGGGGTGACTAGTAATCCACTCTTTTAGCAACTTTGAGCGACTGTTGCTTTGCTGTTCCAGAATCCTCAATGTGTAATCCAATCCCTATAGTGGCTGTCAGAGACTCAGTTTGCAGTCTCCATCTTAGAACTGAGTCTAAAAGCTGGTCTAATGTCTGCAACATCCAACCTATTTTTTGTACTTTTTATGCAATTTCTATTTCTGGTTCTACCTCCCCACCCCCCAGTGCTTTGTGTTGTTGTTGTTGTTGTTGTTTAGTCGTTTAGTCGTTTAGTCGTGTCCGACTCTTCGTGACCCCATGGACCAGAGCACGCCAGGCACTTCTGTCTTCCACTGTCTCCCGCAGTTTGGTCAGACTCATGTTTGTAGCTTCGAGAACACTGTCCAACCATCTCATCCTCTGTCGTCCCCTTCTCCTTGTGCCCTCAATCTTTCCCAACATCAGGGTCTTTTCCAGGGAGTCTTCTCTTCTCATGAGGTGGCCAAAGTATTGGAGCCTCAGCTTCACGATCTGTCCTTCCAGTGAGCACTCAGGGCTAATTTCCTTAAGAATGGATGCGTTTGATCTTCTTGCAGTCCATGGGACTCTCAAGAGTCTCCTCCAGCACCGTAATTCAAAAGCATCAATCCTTCGGCGATCAGCCTTCTTTATGGTCCAGCTCTCACTTCCATACATCACTACTGGGAAAACCATGGCTTTAACTATACGGACCTTTGTTGGCAAGGTGATGTCTCTGCTTTTTAAGATGCTGTCTAGGTTTGCCATCGCCTTTCTCCCAAGGAGCAGGCGTCTTTTAATTTCGTGATTGCTGTCACCATCTGCAGTGATCATGGAGCCCAAGAAAGTAAAATCTCTCACTGCCTCCATTTCTTCTCCTTCTATTTGCCAGGAGGTGATGGGCCCAGTGGCCATGATCTTCATTTTTTTGATTTTGAGCTTCAGACCATATTTTGCGCTCTCCTCTTTCACCCTCATTAAAAGGTTCTTTAATTCCTCCTCACTTTCTGCCATCAAGGTTGTGTCATCTGCATATCTGAGGTTGTTGATATTTCTTCCGGCAATCTTAATTCCGGCTTGGGATTCATCCAGCCCCGCCTTTCGCATGATGAATTCTGCATATAAGTTAAATAAGCAGGGAGACAATATACAGCCTTGCCGTACTCCTTTCCCAATTTTGAACCAATCAGTTGTTCCATATCCAGTTCTAACTGTAGCTTCTTGTCCCACATAGAGATTTCTCAGGAGACAGATGTGATCAGGCACTCCCATTTCTTTAAGAACTTGCCATAGTTTGCTGTGGTTGACACAGTCAAAGGCTTTTGCATAGTCAATGAAGCAAAAGTAGATGTCTTTCTGGAACTCTCTAGCTTTCTCCATAATCCAGCGCATGTTTGCAATTTGGTCTCTGGTTCCTCTGCCTCTTCTAAATCCAGCTTGCACTTCTGGGAGTTCTCGGTCCATATATTGCTTGAGCCTTCCTTGTAGAATTTTAAGCATAACCTTGCTAGCGTGTGAAATGAGTGCAATTGTGCGGTAGTTGGAGCATTATTTATGTATGCTTTATGTAGCTTTCCACAATTTTGTGGACAGTTGGTTAGCCTTAATAAACATATTGGCCAACTGCCCGAGGCAGTCAGAGAAAGTAAGTTCAGTGGTTTTT